CGAAGGAGTTCGTGCGAAAATACGACGGATGTCAGAGTGATGCTCCGATTGTTCATCAACCCGGGGAGCTGCTGCATTCGGTCTTGTCACCCTAGCTATTCATAAAATGGGGAATGGACATCGTCGTCCCCCTGCCACGGGCATCCGGTAAGGCTCAATTTTTACTATTTATGACTGACTATTTTTCTAAATGGGTGGAAGCCCAAGCATTTGAAAAAGTCAGGGAGAATAAGCCCTCACTCAAGGACTGTCGTCCAAGGAAAGCTCGGACGGCTCAAGATATCGAAGCGGGGTAATAAGCCCATTGAGCAACACTCGAACTTAAAAGGCTATGGCCGTCTTAGAACGGCTCGGAGATGTCCGAGATCCGTAACCAAAACATAAGGCCTTCAAAATTTCTAAACCGGTTCAAAGCCTACCCTCAACAAAATTATAACCTAAATAATTCTAAGTAAGCACTACGGAGAAAGTTTCCGATCATGCCAAGCCCCCGCGAGTCTTAATCAAAATTACATCGAAAATGAACCTTATTCGAACCTCTGAACAAGACCTTATTATTGCATGCTAAGGCATTCGAGATCTTTGCAATTGTAAAGAAAAAGCAAAAAGGAACAAACTTGAAAATTGTCGAAGGGAACAAAGAGCCTTGTATATATACATAAAACTTTACAAACGGCCTCGACAAAAAATACAAAAGTACAAAAACGAAGAAAATTCTACAAGGCACCTACGAAGCCTGATCTTCGCCAGAACCTGGCTCATCACCGGGGCCATCGGGGTCTTCTCCGTCCTCGGATCCGCCTGAACCCTCAGAGTCTTCCTCGTCCTCGGGGTACGCCAACTTCTTGGCCTCGGCCTCGAGCCTCTTAGCATTTTTTATCTCGGCCGATAAATAGAATCCCCGGGCATGAACTTCCTCGAGAGCCTCCCTTCGGGACTGCCACTTCACATATTCGACAATGGCTTCCAGGCGGTCCTGGGCTGCCTTAGCATCAGCTTTGTACTGGGCCACTATCTCTTCAACATCGGCCCTAGTTATTTCAGCCACTGACTTGGCTGCTTCAAGCTCCTTGGCAAGGATATCCCGTGCGGCAACGGTCGAGCCCAGTTGAGACTGGAGGTCTTCAATTATTTGGGACCGGGATTTAACTATCTCCCTCACCGCTTGAAGTTAGGCCTCCGCCGAGGCCAACTACTCCTGGGCAGTCTTCTTTTCCGAAGCCAATCGGTCCATTTTGCTCATCTACTCTTCGGCCATAGCCTTGACCTCGTCCATCTCAGCTCGGAGCTGGTCGACCCGATCAACCTTCTGCTGGACCTGCGGATTCTGATCGTTAGTTACCGTGTATTGCTCGTCATCACTAACTTCAAAGATTTTTACCTATTCCACCAGGTCGGCATTTTCTTTCTGAGTCGCGTCCAACTCGGCTCGAAGACTCTTGACTTCTCATCCACGTTGCTCGATGAGAAGCTTATACATGCCTCTCTTCTCAGCAAGCTCTTTGACTTCGGCCTCGAGTTGTTTGCTCATCCCGGTACCGGAGGAAGGTTTAATGGTGAAGCACCGAGGCGTGCAAATATGAGAAGAGATATTAGAATCATCAAGAACTAAAGTTGAAAAATAAAAATGTTTGGTAACACCTTACCCGGTTCAGCGCATGTTGTGCTTCGTTGAACAGGCATGGCGCATCTACCTTATTAATTTTTGCCTGGTCTTTATCGGTTACCAGGCACCGGAGGTAGCTGGCTACCCTGACAGGGGCGGAAAGAACCCGAGCATCCTCCGGGACGGTGATAACGATTGATCGCTTCCGGCCACGATCCGTGCTCGGAGAAGCAAATCGGTTGATCAACCTCGGGCTCGAATTCGACCCGCCGACCTCAAAGGATGGACTTTTCCTCGGCACCTCTAAGTCACCCAATCCCGTGAAGTCCTCCAGGGCGGATGAGTCTACACCGTCAAAGAAGCCTCGGAGGGGATCATCTACTCCATGGACCCCCTCATTAGATCGCTCCTTCGTCGTTCGGGCTTCATTGAACATTGATTATGTAAATGAAGGCGATCCCGAAAAATATATAACGTCGGGCGGGGCAGAGCCGGCATCTTGAGAGTTCTCGGCCCTCACTTCGGCATCAGCCTCACGAACCTGAGGGGGATTAGCTTCCGTCATTTCCCCCTCGGCTGCCATCCGTTCCTCGGGGATAGACGGCTCATGGTCCACAAAGATTTCATCCTCCTCGGGCTCGTCCCTGAGACAAAGGAGTGAGTTCGAGTCAAGCACTCGGGAGCTGGAGGTTTCCTTTGTCTTACGAATCAGCCTCCCTCTTTGTTTCTTTTTCTCCGAGCTTGGAGAACTCGGGGCCCTCTTCCTTTTCTTCTCCCCTGTTGTGGCTCGGGGCTGCCCCGAAGCAGAGGGATCATTGGGCTGATCCTCGCCCCCTACCAAGGGACTGAGCTTGATGGTCTTGGGCAAGCCTGCAAAAAGAGTAGAGCCAATGAGGACATAAGTGCTGAAAAGGAACGTCTAGAACTGCTTATTCAAAGAGAGAAATCTTACAATGAGAACGGGCTTCCCAGCAGCCCTTTCGAGAGCTCGCGCCATGAGCGTTCGGCATAAGGCATCTGCGAATAGATGGCATTGATTCACTCTTTGAGCCGAGGGATGGCGTTTGGAACTCGAGCAAGGGTTGCACCACAGCAAACATCGATGAGAAAAGGGAAGATAAAACATAAAATCGACATTCGGTAGGAGGTGTACTTACGTCATACGTTCCACTTCTCGGGAAACGGCCTCCACTCGGCGGGTATCAGGTCGGCGGTCTTTACCCAGACAAAACATCCTTGCTAACCCCGATCCCAGTCCTCGTCGATGCTTAGAATAGGGCTTTGCTAGCCCGACGTATAAGCTTTATCAGTCCCCCTCGGAAGATTCGAGGACTGTATAAGCGGAGCAGATGATCGATGGTGAATGTGCACGGATCGATTTTATTCACAAAGAATCGGAGGAGAATCACGATCCTCCACAGTGATGGGTTAATTTGGCCGAGGCACATGTCGTACCTCCTGCAAAAGTCCAAGATGACTGGGTCTAGCGGGCCCAATGTAAAGGGATAAGTGTAAACACTTAGATATCCCTCAACATGTGTAGTGATATCGTCATCAGGCCCGGGAATCACTACGTCATTATCTGTCCAGTCGCAGTCCTTTCGAACCGTAGGGAGAACGGCCTCAGTGATGGAGCAGATGTACCGAGACACCGCCTCTCACCGGCCTTGAACAGAAGAAGGTTTTTCAACCTTGAAGTCATCATTGATCGAACATCCCCCGGGGACGAACATTCTCAAGGGAGGCTCAGGTGCCAGTTCATCAGCGGCCGCACCTGGAACGGACTTCTCGAGGAAGACCACATCAGGGGCAGTCTCCTCGGCCTCAGTGGTCGGCCGCGAAGAAGAAGGAGCATCTTTTTGGGGAACGGAGTTGGAGGTTTTGGCCATTGTTACCTGGAAATGCCTGAAAAAGGTATGGGAAAGGTTGAAAGCTTAGATATGTTGGCTTGAGTAGAAAATGAGTAAAAATCTTGCAACGTACTGAGGGATCTTGAGTAACGGGGGTAAAAATGCTAGAGTATAAAAAAGGGTACTGAATTTCTAAAGGCACGAGGGTAAAGGTTTGGACGTAAAGTAAAAAATGAACAAATGAGGGGATATTTATAGGGGCCTCACGACGCTTCGCGTCCAGGAACAGCCAACCGACGGCTGGCACACATTTGAAGTCATAATGACATGACTAACGAGACATTTTGGGTTTCTTGTCGCTTCTGTCACGGTGTATTGAGGATGGAATCGGAGAGCTCATGTCGTTTCTCGTCAAACTTACTCTCCGAGAAACAAGGAGACTATCTATATACTAGTAAAACCGGGCTCATAGCGCACCCCAGCTTCCAATAGGATAAACAAAGCTCGAGACATTATGACGAGGCACCGGAATCGAGGCAAGGGTCTCACCGAGTTAGAGTCCGAGGGCATGACGCCTGTCCTCGAGAATATCGGGGTCGTAATCCAGGATCGGTCCACATCTCAAAAGACTTCAGTTAAACAGAAGATTATTTACCTTTTACAGAATTGTACCTAGAATAGGATTCCCCTACTATATAAATAGGGGTCTGACTATTCATTAAGGACATTATGACACGCATCCCAAAGCGATACACTATTATTTTCACTGTTATTCATAACTTTTTTCTTGTTCATCAGTACTGACTATTGTAAACCCGAATCAAGGGTGAATATTTCACTAAGGCTGGAATCATCCTCCTCACGTGGTTTGAATTTACTATATCTTTATTTGCTCAATCTAACTCAATTTATCGTTTTATATCAAATTAATCCGCATATCCTTAAAACCACTTACAAATTTAATTGTTATCCAATTTTGAGGGTAAACAAAATGTAGCACAAAACCCTCAACTGTGTATTTTTCATACACATGTTTTAACTTAGTTTATGTGAATCGAAAAAGAAATGTTACACTAAGTTAACGGCAAAAGTGAAAATAGTCATGGCCATAGACGTAAACGTCCTTACTTTATAAAGACACAAAGAAGAGCTTCACTGAGCTCTTTAACTTGCTACTCATTTCCTTTTTGACCTTGCACAAGATAGCAAGGCATCAGTGAGCTAAATATTTTAATCTATGACATTTTTGGTAACATGATCCAGCTTGAGTGACCCATTTTTGCAAAGTGTGTCTATAATCCACAAAAATAAATACGTTTTATACTCTTTTAGCCTTCCATATGCTTGAAAAGCAAGACTCAAATTCTAACAGCTTATAAATAGACAAATTCGCAGCATCAGCTAAATATCAAATGGCTCACAGGCAACCGCACCGCTGGTTCTTTAAGGTAAAAACAACACATCCTTGCCCAATTAGCAACGTGGTAATTGGTCTGCACATTTTCCCTCCCTTTATGTACAATATGAATCCTGCATCAACAATCTTCAAGAGGCGATGTGTTAGTATGCTCGTATTGGCAGAGACAAATAGGCTGATAGTGTAGTGTTGTCACATTCCGAATAAATACATCCATATAAAACATATATACATATATCTGGTTGATTTACACCAAAATCCAGTACTGCTGTTCAAAAAGCTATCAAGCTCTCCCTTTATCAGCCTGACCAGTGTCCCTTGCCCAATGTCCACTTATCCATTGCTCTCCAGTCTCACAGTTGCAAGATGTTTCCACAAGTCGTATTTAAGATGAGAAAGCAACCTACTCTTCTTCAAAGGAATTCCTCCTATCATCAGATAAATAACATTTCCAAACAGGTTCAACCAATGCCCTTGCACGCTGTAACACCTGCCTTGCATCCTCACCGTTACATGATTCTTTTTCCAACTCCAATTGATGGTAGATCTGCTGGAGGGATGTCAACATTGATGTAAGTTCCTTCCACTCTCTTTCCTCATGTCTGACTAGCTTAACACACACAAAATGCAGGAGCCCCAACACAACATCAAAATTCTTGCTTTTCAGCCCAACCAGCAAATTGTTCAATAAAGTCAGCCCAACTGCATCCAGCACATTATGGTTAGCTCTCAACAGCTGAACCATTACGTTTACAAGTTTCTTGAATGTCTTGAAGCCCTCCATCTTAGAAATTCTATCAGGCTCCTCATCAGAACTTATATCTTGTTGTTCAGCCAGCTCAGTCCTTGCTAATGTGGATACCCATAATGGAAGATCATCTTTTGGATTAAAAGAACTAGATTTGCCTCCTGGAATCTGCTTCATCAGGTTTAAAGATCCTAATGCCAGAATTAAATCAGGAACCCATGGTTTGACTGCAGGAAAAAGACGAACTGCATATCCATAGCCCAAGTACTCTTCAATCGAAACGTAGAGGTTTAACAGTTCATTGGCAATGTCAAAAGCTCCCAATAAGGGTTGTGACGCTTCAGAAAAACTCTTAAGCACTACATTCACCAACTTGGCTACATATGTGAAGGAACTCTTCAGACAGAGATATATCTCTTTCAACATGTCTTCCGTAAATTGCAGCTCCTCACCAGAATGTTCCCTTAAACTTGAGATGATAAATTTAATGTATTCCAGAGTAAAAGATAGGCATTCCTCCTGGCTTTTATCGACAAGATCCATCGTAAGAGCATCAGCAATGAACTTCAGCACTGCAGTTAGCATCTTCACCACATTCAATGTCCTCTGTTGTTTAGCAAAATCAGATCCTGGGTACATGTTGTATACAAAGATCAATTCAGTTCATGCATAGGCCAAAAGAGAAAGGAATAAGCTGCCAAAAGGATTGTTAATTTAGACATAACTTTTGAAGTTCTACAGCAATTTTGCAAATAAGGTGGTTTAAGACTAAAATGTTCATGCAGGGCCACATTCTGATCTGAGGAAAGCTAAGAGTTTTAGCATACTGAAAGGCCAATGTAAGAGTCTGAATGTAGGACCACTAAGAACATCATAGTGGGAATAAGAAACACTACGAACATTTTGTAGTATTGGGACTTTCTTACCATAGAGGTTTTCTAAATCAAACAAGACAACTCAAACTCTTTATCATAAACTAAGCCTAATCTAATATTCACCAATAAGTTCACCAAATATGTAATAATCAAGGTCCAATGGCAGCTTTGACAACTACAAGCACACATTATTGAGAGATCAAAAGATATACAAAATTCCAAGACCAAATATATCAGATGATTTATTCATCACATTCTAAGCCCCACGCACAAAAAGAAAAACTCTATTTTGAATTGCATCTCACGAAAACTAGTCTACTAGAGGGAAAGGAAAAGCTAACCATCACCGCCAAGGTCAGATAATTCACTAGATGGTATCCCGAATAGCTTATTTGTGCAGCCAAGAAGATGATCCATTGTCAGTTCCAATGCCGTTTCCTGGAAAATCAAACAAAGCATATGACGAACATTTCCAGTAAAGAAGTGTGAAGATCAAATCACCAACATGTAAAGGTAAAGTTAAGTCATTTCTATGTGTTAAGTATAGATTTTCTCATGAACAAAGGACATGGAGCAAGAAAGATAAACTTGCTAATGTTGTATGTAATGAACTAATCAACAGATATTTTGACCTTACGCAGAAAGACTTTCACCAAGAAGAAAACTTTGAAACAAAACAATCTCAATAAACATGAATTGCATTCTATAACTGAAGCTATGCATTAATATGATATTTCTGTTCAATTACTCAAAGCAATATTTTAACTCTCAAAATATTAATAATATGCTGCATAGATAGCTTAAGTGAAAGCCTTAAATTTGAAACTGATCAACTGTAACTGAAACAGGGACATTTCTGCATCCAGAAACAGTTCATTGAAATGCTGATGGAAACATAAATATGAGATCTGACGCATATATCTGAACACCAACTAATAATATCTACTCTATTACTTATGCTGCAAAAAGTCGGTGCCACTTATCCTTTAAGCCCCAGTACAATTATATGAACCCCTTTAATACAGACGAAACACAAGATGGAACTATGTACTGAATAAAAGAATAATGGAAAGAAAAGAGCAAATGCTGGTTTTAATTTCTTGAACCATATCTATTAAAAGTTTCATTGAAGCAGAGAGCAACAGAAAAGCACAACTCACCTCTGATGCTTCATTAGTAGATTCCGTTCTACGCTTCTTATTGACATTTTTGTCTCCACCTAAGTTGTTGTCCTGAAAAGACATGTGAAAAGCAAGAGCTGTGTATGCCAAAATTGGTGACAATCTCATATAATCACATCGTGTACATTGTAGAATGCTAACTTCAGATATGGCCTTCAAAGAAAGGAATATAGTCTCTAAGCTTCCACTGCGTAGAATAGCATTTCTTGTATTTTCAGATAAAAGGAGGTCCTTTATCTGCCAAGCCACTCCTACAGTGATTTCATACTCTTCCTTGAAGCTACATTTAACCTTACCGAACATCTTTTTCTCCTTCACATGCTTTGATTTAGAGGAGAGCTTGATGGAGGACTTAGTATTCCCCCGTTTAGTTGACGGAACACTGAATTTTACCAGTTCTGTTCCAAATTTTTTGTGGCATTGGGAGGCAGTTCTTTGCAGAAGCCTAGCTAGAATTTCAAACATCTCGTCAAACCAACTGCAAGATAGCATCATCTTGTGGACAGACCTCACCTCAGCTTGCTTTTCTAAAGAATTGGATAAATCTCCGCAATTTGTTACCAAGGTCATGCATTCATCGAAAAGGTCATCAACTGCATCTGGACAGATACTTGAAATAATGTTACAGACAGAGGCCTGGGCACGTGCTGAGGTTGCAACACCAAACAATTGCTTGAGTCTTTCACCAGACAATTCCTCTTTAAGTTTAGTGTGATAAGATCCATCACGTACAAGATAGATACAGAGGTGGGAGGCTGCAATAATTGAACCATCAATCTGCTCCTCCTCCAGCTTGCCAGGTGATACAACCAAACTGATAAGAATTTTCAAAAGTTCCATCCATGACTGTAGCGAGATTCCTTCCGACACAGCAAATTCACAGAACCTTGCACCAGCCAAAGGACACCTTTTTAAAAGTGTGACACAACGCTTACATGCTTCTCTCAGGTTTACTTTTGAGGGGAAGTATGAAGGAAGGAGAAGCTTAGTGAGTTTTTGACCAATCATTGGTTGGTCATTTGCAAGTGTAGACAACAAAAGGTCTATATGCACAACCTGCATAACAAAAAGTTAAATTGACTTAAGAAGAAAACTTCAATTATCCGGGGATTGTGTATGTTTTAGGTTATAAAGTTCAGACCATACCTTGTGAAACTGAAAATTTCTTAAATCAGTTAAAGTGAGAAGGAGATCTACAACTGCAGCACGAACTGGAGGAGAAGTATCAAGAATCAAATTACCCATTCTAGGTAAAAGCACTTTAAGGACCTCGTGAGAATGGGGGTTTCCAAGTAGGTATATCATAGCATTTACTGTTGACAACCTAACCTCAGTGCATTCATCGTGTATCATATGATCAAAGATTTTGGTAAGAGTTTTAGTGATTGTTGGTGAAGGGATAATTTCCCAAAACAAATGAAGAATGCGGCAACAACCTTCAACTGCTACAGCCCGCACATCAGGGCACTCATCCATTAGTAATCTGTCCAGCAGAAAGAACTGTTTATCAAGGAGTGTGTCTTTCCCCTCCATTGTAGCATCAGGATCTTCAAGAGGGAATAGGTCAAGAAATAAGTGCAATGAATTTTGTCGGACATTTGAGTTTGCAACCTACCAGAAAAGCAGTTGTATTATGAGTCTCAATTATTCATAGGCATAAAACTTTGTGCTGGATAAAGAAGTTGGACTGTCAAAAGAAAAACACTATAGCTCAAGATATGCTATGAATTTTCTAATCCATCCCATTGGTAATACATTAAGCATCAAAGAATTAGCATATTGGGAGAAGAAACTAAATAATGAGCTGCACCGTCGGTAGTTTCTTTAGATATTATTGAACTAAAATTTCAAGTGACAGAATCCTAAAGGGCAAAGACCAAACAAAGAAACAAAGGATACAATTTGAAACCTTTGAAAATGGCAATTCTTTGGAAAACAAGACAGCAATTGTCAATTAAGCTCTTCAATCCCACTAAGAAATTAGAAATACATAAAGTTAAATGCATTCTGACAAAGTTTTCTATTTACAAAACTCAAACCCAATGAAACTCGTGATGAATGGTGCACGGCATCTTATATCTGAATACTCTAAAATGCAATCATAGAGCTGAAAACTTTTCAAGTGGAAATCTAGGATCATTAGGATAAGTTAATAGTCGAGTACGATACACAAGTTTTACGGTGTCATAGGGCAGTTAAACTATAACCAGTACCTGCAAGGATCGGAAAATGACGGGCTCGGCAAGACGAAAAAGGAGCTTCTCAACACCCTCTGTAGTTCTCTGATTAACAAAACCCCCTAAAACTTTTCTAATAGACACAGCAAGCTCCCCTGAACTTGCATGTATACAGCTATCTATCAACCCCTGCAAGAAGTTGTTCTCAATCTCATCCTTAGACAGCCCTTCGGCTGCCTGCCACGCCCGAAAAAGAACCTCTCCATATGCCTCCAACACAGACTTACGCCCAAATGGGATCTGGGATTTAAGCATAGCCAATGCCTCTTTCAGAACCTGCAAACTCAAACCAAATGTAAACGCGATAAATTTCCTCCCATCCTCCGTCTTCAAAAACAGAGGCGAAATCACACAACGCATCATTAAATGCTTCAAATCCTCGATACTCTCATCCTCGAAATCTAGCAACGTAAACGCCTCTCTTAGCATATAAACCCTATGCACATACACTTTCTTCTTCAATGTCAACGCCCTCGACAACAGAAACGGCAATGACTGAGAAATTAGAGTTTCTTTCCCACATAAATCCTCCTTCCACCACTCTTCACATAAATTAGCAATTTCAGATAACAAAACAGAATCAGACTCAAATAAAATCAAATTATCATGTAACTCTCGAACCGCCGGCAATAAATCAGAATCAGAAAAGGCCTTTTTTGGATGAGAAACACATAAAAACGAAATGTAAGCATAAAAACGAAAATTTTCAACGAGCAATTGCGTCTTATCTTCGTTTTCTTCTTCGCCGTTCCTCTTGTTCCGCGCAGATCGACGGAGCCGTTTCGTCGGCGGCGTTTGAGGAGATAAAACGGCGTCTTCGGTGGAGTTAGAATCAGTTAGGGTTTTGTATTTCCTGATAGACTGCGAGATTGAGTGGTGTAGGGCGAGAGGAAGAGTAGTAGTGAGATCTGACGAAGAAGTGAGGGTGTGAATTAGGGTTTTGAGTGAGGGTTTAATGGATTTATTAAACCCTAATTTTGCCGTTGACGAGAGGAATTCTTGCGCTGAGGTTTTGAGCGAAGAACGAAGTCTTTTCTCCATTGAAAGTGATGCAAGATCTTCAAATTTTTCCGGTGCACTTCTTGTTAGTGGTTATTTACTGGTGTAGATGAGTTCTTTCTTGTGTGTGTGAGAGAGAGAGAGGAAATGGGAGACGTTGACACTGAGGTTCGAATTTGAAATTTGCAATTGGCGCTTATTATATTATTATTATTATATTATATTATTATTATTATGATGTTGCTCTATTTGCGCTAGATTGGCTTATTTTAAGTGTCTTTTAAGCATAAGTTATAAGTTAGAAATTCTAACTTTTGGCTTATTTTTGTTATTTTAGCTTTAAAACAAGTGCTTAAAAGCATTTTTTACTTTATCCAAACATTATAAAATGACTTAAATGCAGTTATGACTTAAAAGTACTTAAAATAAGCCAATCAAAAAGGGTTCTAAGTTTTCTTTTACCAAACTTTATAGAAACTTTTTTTGGTTTGTCTAAACATGTAAAGTTGACATCAATTTTCATTTTAATACATTAACTAACCCTTGTATCTATTCGACACTTTTAACCTGTTTGGCTAGACTTTGTGTAACGATCCGATCAGTTGTTTTGCTTTTTAGATCCTCGTTCCCCTATTTAAGACTCCTCATACGTGCATTTACTGCTTTATGACTTGCGGAGATGGTTGGTTCAGATTTGGAAGGGTTCGGGTTGAAATCGAAACACTTAGTTTCTTAATATAGACCCATAATGGCCAAGATTGACTTGAGGCAACATTTTGAGTAAACGGCCTCGGAATCGGGATTTGACTGTCCCAATAGGTTCGTATAATGATTTTGTACTTGGACATGTGTTCGGATCGGTTTTCGAATCACCTGGGAGCATTTCGGCGCTTAATGTTGAAAGTTGGCGCATTGAAGGTTTTCAACTTCTTATAGTTTGATTTGAAGTAGGCTTTTGGTGTTATCGAGATCCGTTTGGGATTCCGAGCCTGAGAATAGTTCTGTATGGTGATTTATGACTTGTACGCAAAATTTAGTGTCATTCCGAGTAGTCTAAGTATGATTCAGCACGTTCGGAGTAAGTTGGAAAAAAACTTGAAGTTCATAAGTTGATTCGATTTGGTTTTGGGGTACGATTCTTAGTTTGATGTTGTTTACGCATTCTGAGGGCTCGAGCGAGTCCGTTTTATGTTTACGAACTTGTTGGTATGTTTGTTCGAGGCCCTGGGGCCCCCGTGTAGGATTTGAAGGGTCGACGGAGCTTGATTGCTCTTTAGAGAAGAGCTAAAGGTGGCTAGCATCTAGTGCATTCGCACCTACGGTGGGAACGACCACAGGTGCGGCGTTTTGTTCGCAAAAGCGAAATGGAGGGGAGTCAACGAGGTCCGCAGAAGTGAAGCATTTCCGCATAAGCGAACTCGCTTCTACAATGAAGAGGTGTGCAGATGCGGAGAGAGGCAGCCTGGCCATGGTCGTAGGTGCGCGAGGCGAGCCGCAGAAGCGGGCTCGCAGATGTGAGACTTAGCCACAGGTACGGCTAGTCACATGTCGTGCATGTTCCGCAAATGCGGACATTCGACTGCAGGAGCGGTCCCGCAAAAGCGGAGATTCTTTCGCAGGTGCGGAAAACCGCTAGGCAGAATGGGAGCATTTAAGTCGAGACTTAGGCTCATTTCTTCATTTCTCTCACTTGTTGATCGGATTTAGAGCTCTTTGAGGAGGAATTTTCACCTAGCACTTTGAGGTAAGTAATTTCTATATAATATGAGTTTAAATCATGCATTATGGGTAGATTTTAACGTAATAATTATGGAAATTATAAGTTTAGTGTTAAGACCTAGGTCTTTGATAAAAATAGGATTTGACAACGAAAATGGTTGTGGAATTGAGTAGAAATTATATATTTGGGTTCGTGAGGCTATGGATAATATTTATCTTTGAAAATTTCCGGAATCCATGCACGTGGGCTCGGGGCCGAATTTTAGGAATCTTCCAATTTGAGTTGGGTTATGATTCTAGAAGCTAAATTATGAACTTTTGAGTATATTTTGATTAATTTATATAATATTTGAGTAGTTTTGGATTGTTCGGCATCGACTTGGGGCTTTTAGAGCGAATTTGTGGATCGAAAAGTGAGCTTGGGAACAAGGTAAGTCTCTTGCCTAACCTTATGAGAGGGAATTTACCCCATAGGTATTTTAATTACTATTTGCTGCTAATTGTGGGTGCTACGTACGCACAAAGTGACGAGAGTCCGTCCGTAGCTACAAATCATGCTTATGTCCAGGTAGTTTTAGGACTTTAACATATAATATTTGTATTATTTGCACTCTACTAGTTAATTTAAGTGCTTAAATTATATTGAAACTTGATAAAGGATTTGTAAAAACCGAACTTCATTTACTTTGAGTTTTTGGCGGGTTACTTGACTGTTGGTAGAAATTGTGCCTCCTTGTGTATTAGTCCCGTAGTAGCCGTTAAATCGGAGTTTGTAGAGTATTCTCTTCTTGTGGAGCGAGTCGAACGCCTCGACAGTATAATAGATGATTTATGGTTCATGTTTGTCGACCCTCGGCAGTGTACACGTTATTCTAGATCAAGCCGTACGACCTTAGCATAAATCGTGCGTAATAATGCTCGGAGTCCGATTACACTTGATATTACTTTCAATGACTTGAGAAATAATAATTTACTTGATGGCTCATATTTGTTGAAGTTAGTAGGTGCTAATTAGGAGCTCTTAATTGACATCTAGTTAAAGAGTCACTTATTTGCTGTTCATTATTGCGTTATTATTATTGATGTATTTCATGCTTATTTAGAATTTCTATACTTTATTTATTGGCCCATAGTAAGTATCGATATCGACCCCTCGTCACTACTTGTTCGAGGTTAGACGAGATACTTACTGGGTACATGTTGTTTATGCACTCACGCTGCACTTCTGTACTAATCGTGCAGGATTTGAGGCAGGTGCATTTGGCAGTCATTCAAGTGCATACCCCCGTTACCCCGAGGCGTAGTGGTGAGCTGCTCTCTGTGTCTGTTCTGTAGCACCCGCAGTCTCTCTTTTGTAATTTATTTTTCTGTCTATCTATTCCACACAGTAGTATAGATGGTTTTTGTATATTCTACTAGTTTCTCATACACTTGTGATACGGGGTTTTGGGAATATTATAGTAGACACTTTCTGGTTTTGAGTATTAAATTCATTGTATTTACTCTTTCGTTAGTTTGTTCTTTACTTTACTATAATTTTCCACTAATTATTTTCTTAATAAATAAAAATCAACTACTTTGAAATTATTAAAAATAACAAATACATGACTAGTACATCGTTGGCTTGCCTAGCGTCGACGTTGGGCGCCATCACGACCTATAGGACAAATTGGATTATGACAACTTGGAATCTGAGCACCAGGTTCACGTAGGTCTCACAAGTCATGAGCAAGCCTAATAGAGTCTTGCGGATTGGTGTGAAGACATCCGTACTTATCTTCGAGAGGCTATAGGGTGTTAGGAAACCTCTCTTTCTTCATCTCCTATAGTGTAGTTAATGTTATGCTAAGTATCTTTCTCTTATTATCTCACAGATGGTGAGAACACGCGCATCAGATGTACTAGGCCGTGGAGGAGCTGCTCCCCCTATTGGTAGAGGCTGGGGGGAGGGGGGGGCTCCAGCTATTTCCAGAGGATGAGGGCGCCCTAGAGTTGCTCCAGTCGTGCCACCAGTGGATCCAGTGGAGGATCCTGTTATTGAGAAGCAGGGCGAGGTACCTGCAACTGAGCCATCCCCAGCGGATTTCATGTATGCACCATGATTCCAGGAGGTTATGGGTCGTATGTTGTGGTTTATGGACTCTATAACATATGTTATTTTATTTCCAGTGGACCCAGCCACATCTCAGGCGGGAGGGGGAGCACATATCCCTACCGCTCAGGCTCCAGGACATGCTACTGTCGTATATCAGACCCCGGGTGCACTACCCATGGGCGGAGCTCAGCTAGTTGTAGCGGCTATACTAGAGCCCAGACCAACCCCAACCGGCGAGCCGCAGAAGCTATTGGATAGATGGACCAGACTACGTCCTCCTGCTATTGGCGGTGAGCGATATGAGGACCCCCATGACTTTATTGATCGTTGCATGGACAGACTGCACAACATGAGGATATTGGAGTCCCACGGGGTGGACTTTACCACCTTTCAGCTGGAGGGTAGGGCCCGTAGATGGTGACAGTCCTATCTTCTCAGTAGACATGCAGGTTCTCCTCCCTTAACTTGGGACCAGTTCACACGTCTCTTTCTGGAGAGATACATCCCACCCTCTTCGAGGGAAGAGTTACGGGGTCAGTTCGAGCAGCTCCAGCAGGGTCAGATGTCTGTGACCGACTATGAGGCGAGATTCTCTGAGTTATCTCGCTATGCACTTATGATACTCCCCACTGATGCAGAGAGAGTGCAGAGGTTTATTGCGGGTTTGCACTATGGTATCCAGGTCACTATGGCCCGAGATATTGAGAAGGGGACTCCTTACGAGCAGGTTGTGGAGATAGCTTGGAGGATCGAGGGTATTCGTCAGCAAGGCCGAGAGCAGGCACCGAGGGACAAGTAGTTTTGATATTTTGGAGGGTTCAGTGGTGCTCCGTCTGGGGCAGAGATTAGTTTGTAAGAGGTCAGTCTAGCAGGCCCACGTATCCAGCATTGCCACCTTCTCGAGGTGCTCTAGTGCGGCCCTATTTCAGTGCCACTCTAGAGAACTCCTACCATCCACTTGCTATTCAGGGTTCCTCCAGTAGGAGTTCATGTCCCCAGAGTCAGACTCAGGGTCAGTCATCTTCCGCACAGAGAGGTTGCTTTGAGTGCGGGGATCTTGGTCATATGAGGAGATTCTACCCCAAGCTTCGGGTCAAGGCAGTACAACTGGGTCATCGGCTCATGATTACTGCACCAGCTGCCGCACCAGCCATCCAGCTGCCCATAGGCAGAGGGCAGGTGGGTAGGGGCTGCCCTAGAGGTGGAGGTCAGTCAGGTGGTGCACCAGCTAGGTTCTATGCCTTTCCAGCCATACCAGATAGAGTAGCCTCAGATTGTGGCAGCGGGTATTATTTCTGTCTGCGGTAAGGATGCTTCGGTACTATTTGATTTAGGGTCTACG